TGTTATATTTTCTTCTTAAAGGTACTAATTTTTAGTGAACAAAACTTATTTTTGCTGAACTGAAATTATTTTCTGAATATTATTTTTTTTTTAATGTGAAGTGAACAGGGCCTAAGGAGAACATTATAGGATCTTCTCTCCCCGCCTGTGGACGTAGGCAACAACGCAACGCATTATTAGTGAACCATGCGTAGTTTGAACCGGGTACATATTTTGATTATTAGAATGCGGGTCCATAGCATACTAATTGATATCTCAAATTGACAAATAGGTAAAATGAAATACTAATAGCTTAGTTCACGCAAATTTTAAGGTGCACCATGGTGCACCTAGAAATAGGTGCACCACACTTATACTTTTGAACATTTAGTAAAAAAATCTGAACAATTGCAAATTTTAAACATTTAGTAAAAAAAATCTGAACATCGCATATTTTGAACATTTAGTAAAAAAATCTGAACAATCGCAATGCACTACGCCTCTACTTTTGAACATTTAGTAAAAAAAATCTGAACAATCGCAAATTTTGAACATTTAGTAAAAAAATCTGAACATCACAAATTTTGAACATTTAGTAAAAAAAATATGAACAATCGTAAATTTTGAACATGTAGTATATTAAATACAACACTATATAATAAACATCAATTGCTTGATTTGATTGGTATGAATATTTAAATCATTGATAATTTTCATTTGAATAATCTGAGAATTGTTAATGAGGATAATGTTTAATTTTTATATAGAATAATCTGAGAATTGTGTTTCCTTATGTTTTAATCTCTGTTATAACTATATAATTGGACTAATTAGAGGATAATGTTTAGTAATGTCGAATTTGCCGCTTCATGTAATGTATAGAGATAACAATATTGAAGTAGGAATCATAGAATGGTATGAGCTGGAGTTGTGATTTGCGAATCATCTTGGAATGATTGATTAACATATGCAAAACGAATGGAGAAAGCCCTAGTTCCTCATTATGAAAAATACTTGCGTTTCTCATAATGGCAATTTGAAAAATAATGTAATGTTTTTCACTTCCTGAGCTGCTGAGTCGGATTCGTGGGGACAGCCTATGTGTCAATCTGTTTTAGGAGAAACTACTACTGTAGGAGTAACTGGCACATTGTCATTGGCATTAGAATCACTATTAAGTTGCTCGTTGTTGCTAATCATTTCTGCAGAGAAATACAGAAAACAAGTCAATAACACAGTAAAATAGAAAATATAGCTTTAATTATATTTGCTCATTTTTTTTATATTTGTTCATTCTAAGTTTATTTTGCTTAATAACAAGTCAAGTACACAATAAAATGGTAATTATATTTGCTACTTCATATTTTAAAAGGGTAAAAGAGGTATTTTAAAGGAAAGAAATTTCTAGGGTGTTACATTACATCATTAATCTTAGTTGTTGGATTTAATACAATCTAACGGTTGAGATTTGTTCTCACATAAGGGACGAGTTCTCACATAAAGGGTGGTTCTCACCGAATCTCAACCCTATATATATATATATATATATATATATATATATATATATATATATATATATATATATATTTCTTTTATTTTATTTATTATTTATATCTAAATTAATAAAGTCGAGATGTTTAAATAAATAATAAAAATAATTAGTCTAATAAAAGTTCAAATATGAGATTATAGCAAATAAAAATTTAAGATATAATTATTTTTATTATTTATTTAAAGCATCTCGACTACCGACTTTGAGTTTAAATCAACAAAAGAAACATAGATTTGACTTTTAACATCCAAGCCTTTACAACTTTCACTAAAAACATCATTACATAAATGGAGTTGGACGGACAAGTTGCACATGAGCACCTTTTATAGGACAAGGAGCGTACTACAAAACACAACGCAAATAGAGCAACTGAAAATAATGAAACTGTTTTGATCATAGCTTTATTTTATTTGGTAGATGAGTTCATCGCCAAGTAAGATCTTCAAATGGGTAACTTATATATATGACCTTTCATTCATAAGTTGTTCTTGTTGAAAAAATACGGAGCAGCTTTTACAAAGTCAAGGCTTGAGAATCCCAAAATAAAGTACGGACACCTACTTTTGAATAGCAAATTTCAAGAGTAATTTAAAAGTCTCTTTTTTCAAACAACTTAAAAACAGATCCTAAAGTTAAATCAATTTCAAATCAAGAGAAATATATACTACCTCCGTTACATAGTAGTTGAAGATCTAAAATATTCCAAAGTTGTAAGTAATATGTAACGGAAATATTATATGCAAATTAATAAAAAAAAATACAGCTTGGAACCTTAAAGGCCCAATCCAAAACCCAATTTAAAACAATTATCCAAAGCAACTAACACACTTCAACAAACCAAACTATAATAATAGTTATTCAAATAGCTAATAAAGTGATAATGCAAGTTACTGCACTGGATTTATCCAAGGAACTGGCGTAGGCCAGTACTGGAGCTCAAGTCTGGTAGAAGAATAGAACTGTTCAAAACGTCCCTGAAGTCCTAGCCGAATTTGACCCAAATTCTTCAAGCGATGAGATGATCCTATATTACTGAGAAACACCTTATTCTCAGCAGTTAGGACATATATCATCCGATTATTAGTCGGGTGTATATGGATAGTACGTATGCCACTTTGACGAGGTGATCTGCCTGGTTAAAGCTCGTGACATTGTAGGTCTTCCAACATACCTCATTATTACTATTATTATTCCCATTGAGATCCAATTCATTGTATGTCATTACTAGAACGGTCGCCCTTTACATAAACCGATGAGCCCTTATAATAAACTTCGTAGGATTCATGGCAAATTTAGCTAAATAGATTGAAATCAATCTCCCTCCACATTCTAAGAGGTTTCCTCTCCTTAAACTATTACATGTTGGTAGAGTTCTGGCCTCAACAACTCGGCTTGAAGTAGGAGTCACATTGAATGGATCAAACAACCCGAAATATACACTATAGAGAACACAAACCATTCCCTTACAAACCACACCCTTTAAAGGTGCTATGCGGCTCCTAGAGTTAGGGGGTCGCATTAACCTAAGATCAATGTCTATCCAACTACAATTCTCCGAGCAGAAAAACCATGAGGTTCAAAGTAAAGGATGGATCATATGCCCCATTTTTGGGAATCACCATCGTGGGACGAACAACGACAATAACCCTAAACTTATAATCAACACGTCTTTCAATGACATTATAGAAAGGGTCTTCACACACTAAACAAGCCATGATGTGTCGGTCCACGACACTCGAGCTGGAGTAGGGGAAGAGCAACCCATTGCTTTGTTAATGGATTACAAATGTAATATTGATCATTACTATTCGAATCAATGCATAAGATTAAGTCCTTGAACGTCGCAGCAGTTTTACTTGAAAAGGAATAAAAGTAAGGGAGAATTTCGGAGAGTTGAATACCTTGTGAAATGGGGAATTAGTCCGAACTTTCCCTTCACTGTTTATAAGTTGCATCGACAAAATCGTCCATGGAGGTTTCTTCAGCGGAAAAGGGAGATTTTTCTTATGATTAAGGAAATCTATCGCAAATTTAGGGTTCGATAGCAAAGATAACCAGCGTTTCGATACGAATTTCGCTGTGATTATAGTTTCACAACACGGAAGTCGAACAAATATTTCGATCAATAATTCATCAGCAAGATCTTCAATGCTTGTGGATTTTTTTTTGAATAATAATGATAGGTTTTCCATGCTTCATAGATTTGTGATATTTTAATGACGGAAAACCCAAATATATATACTGTCTTGTTTATTTTTTTCCCCTAAAATCTATCCAATTATTTATGGAAAATAAAATAAGATTTTCTGCAACCTACTCCACGTAGTATCAAAATCCGATCTTAAAGTAAATAAGTAAATTATTGCTTTCAATAAAAAAGTAAATTATTATAAAGATAAAAAAAAAATACCATATTGATAGATTTGATTTTCCATCATTAAAATCAACGCATTTAATAATTAACAAAAAAAAAAAAAAAAAAAAATTACTCGTAGGAAAGATAGATAACATTAAAATGTGATAAATAAAAATAAATATTCCCTATAACAAGTACAAAATAACGAGGAATTACAGTAAGCTATAATTTCAAGTATAACCTTTGTCTCCTAAGACCAGAAGACTAAGATATGATGATGCCCACCCAAGTGAGGAGTAAACGACGGTAAATGCTATATAGAGAAGTAATCGATGCTTTTCATTACTGGGATGGAGATGGTGCCATGGTTGGGATTGTAGGTATGGTGGTTGGCATAGCCGGTAAAGGAGGTAACGCCATTTTAGGTGCAGAAGGCATGGATGGCAATGGTGGCAAGGTAGCAGGCAATGGGGACACATTTGTTGGCTTTGGTAGAGTAGTAGTAGATTGTGGTAGAGTTGGTGTAGTTTGCATTGCTGGGAGAGGACTAGCAGCTGAGAGTGGTGGCAATGCTGTCGATTGTGGAAGAGCTTGCGCTGCAGGCATTGCTGGGAGAGGGCTGGTAGCTGAAAGTGGTGGCAATGTTGCAGGCTGTGGGAGGTTATTAGTTACAGCTGGGACTGCGGGCAAGGGGTTAGATGGCATCGGTGGAACGCTTGGATTGGCAATGGTGGCAATCCTGTTTCGGGCACAGTTGGGATAGTAGGCATTGGAGGAATGCTCGGCTTTGGCAATGGTTGGATTGGAGGAAGTGGTTTGTAATAGATGCCGAGCTGCAAAGCTCATCTGAAACAGAGCAAAGAGTAGAGAAAAAAGGAAGAACTGCTTGGCCATTGTGATTTGTGAAAAATGGGATAGAACGAAATCGCTTCGAAAAGTTGTATTGGTAATTGATGCTTATGGTGTAGTGAGATAGTAATTAGCTATGATGAGTATTTATAAGGTAGTATTGTTTGGGTTGCTGATGAAAGTTGAAAGAGGAACAACTAATTTTAGTTATGGATTGTGGTTGGTCACCTTCCCTTATTATTGGAGACATTATAATATATTATATTGATGTTAAGAAACGAAATCTGTTGCATTTGTCTTAGTTGATGTCTAGAATCGTATAGTTAGGTTAACAGGCTGATAAGAATTGTCAAACTTTGAAAATTTATAACTGCAACAAGTAAATAGCATTATGTCATGGGCTATTTCTAACACTATTACCTTTAGAAGGGCAGGGGCTCCCTCTTCCCTAACAATAGTCTTGAGACAATCGACTATGCCATTGTACTGATTTGCAGATCCCTGTGAGAAAAAATTATAATGCCAAGAGTTACTATGAGAGACCATGCAACAAGCAAAGATGTGAAACAAAAATTGAAGAGCCATACAAATCAGATTAAGAACAATACGATACCTGGGTCATTAGCCTAGTCTTAATAACATCAAGAGGGGTAGTAATAGCACCAGTTAAAGCACCTGAAAATTTTGATAAAGACTGATATAAAACCCATAACAATACATGACAATGATAGCTTTTAAAATGCCAATTTCAAATCATGCTCATGCAAGAAGACTTCTTACTGTTATTACAAAAGGCCAAGGTAACCACCAAAATGTCTGAAATAAAATCAGACTGTCTTCAGTTGCATCTGTACAGAAATTACACCTCAAATTCTCTTAAAGTTTCATAAGTTTACAGAATATCACATAGATGTTCCTCCGAATACTGGAACTCACAAGAAAAGGAAATTTATAACTGTTATCATAATATAGTAATAGAGGACATGTTAAATGTTCTGCTTGAATTTAATGCAAAATTTGCAAGTCTTATTCCTATAAGCAAGTTTGCCCCTGTAGTAATTTTCTTCCATTAAGAATCATACGAAATTAGAAGGTTATGTACAGGCATTTAACTAGACAATGTTGGATGAACAAGTATCATGGAAATTAGCATAGTCAAGCTTTAGCCAGCATCTGTAATAGCCAACTCAGGCCATGCAATTGATGTTCCAAGCGTTATCCTAGTACAAAAGGTTTCTCATCGGTTTGATTAAAAATCAACAAGTTTGGTATAAATATCTCAGGCTTCAGTTTCTAATCATTCATCTCAGTTAGCAAGCTCAAAGATGCAAACAGCACAAAAAGCATCTACAGAGACCTGCATTCTCCACATTACCACACAAACAGCAGGAACCATACTGCCTATTCTAATTACTAGAAACACCACGTTAACAAACGTATGATAAAAAATAGGATTATGCATGTGCCTATATGTTACTCAATGAGCAAGCAAATTGTATTTGTTATTACCAGCAAAAGCACCAATAACAGCATTCTCAGGATCATTCAGTTCTCTTTTGGCCTGAAATAAATGGAGGTTAAGATAAGCATTTTATTAGTATGAATTTACACATGAAGAAAAGCATACAAAGTACTAGGATATGTCTCCTTTCTCCTTTTCATTAACTAAGGGACATGGGCAATATAACAAAGACTCATGCATGTATCATTGCTAAAGTAGTTGGGACAGGAAAATTAAGAAGTAATGATAGGAAAATGAGTTTTTCAGTACATATATGCACCCCACAGATGATTCCTTAAAGGTAGTATCCAGTGGACAAGGCTCTCGCTAGGGTAGGTCCAGATGTATGCAACCTTACCCTTATTTGCATAAAGAGGCTGTTTGCTTCCAGGGATCAAAATCGTGACCTTTCGGATAGCAAGTAGACACTTGACCACTGCACTAAGGCACGAACTTCCCCATAGATGATTACTTCCAACATGAAAAGGCTTATATGTATTATTGTAAGTTCTATAGGTCCATTACACCAATAAGACATAGTACTCTGAATTTTATACTCCACATATAACATGTGGCTAAACTAATTGGATCTTAGCATAAACAAAATTATTTGAGGAAACTGAAAAGTAAGTACACATTAAACAATCAACCCGACCTTCGAGAAACGACCACTTATTAAAGGCCCAGCAATTCAGCTTTCAGTAGCAACATTAGACCTCATTTAATGACTGCGAAAATTAAGCTATAAGCTCAATTTCATCAATGCATTTGCTACACCTGCATCAACTGTCTTCTCCGTGTCATGTAGTACAGTTATACAGCATATTTGACATACAATCAGACGTCAACACTTGATATTAAGGTCCTTTACATATTCTAGGAAACTTCAAAGAGTCTAATGTGCCAGCACCTATGGTCATTGTAATTTGAGGTGGTGCGCGATCAACACAAGTCAACAAAATTTCATTAATCCCAGTAAAGGCGGTCCAGATTATGCACAAGCTATGGGACTGTGTAACAAAACCTACACTCCTGGAGCATACTAATTCAAACCCTCAACGAACTCCAAAACAAATTTTTCATCCAATATGAAATTATGTAACAAAACTACACTCCCTTTTTATATTTCTTAAACCCGCAACAAAATCACACTCTCTATCTCTTCTCATAAAACCCAATAAAATTTTGCAGAATAATCTCGCTTATAAATATATATCTTGAAAATGGGTGTTTGATTGATTGGGGTCATATTCAATTTAATTAAACTAAACCTTTAAGAATCATGATTATATTTTATTACTAACAAAATTAGCTTAAGAATATTACAACATTATAACATATTGTAAAATTAAACCCCTGAAAATATAATATAGTACCTGATTGTTCCATTGAAGAGTTCTTGTTACCAATGGCTAAGGTCAAAGGCCCCATCCCCAGTTGCAAAAACCTCCTTTATTACCCAAATAATACAGCATAATATTCAGCAATTAAACAGCGAAAAAAGAGTGATAAAAATCTTTAAGAAATAAAATTTTGAGGAGAATTAATACATAGAAATGCAATTAAAATGTGATAAATTCAACTACATGCATTCAAGGGAAAAAATTGCATAATTCCAATATTGTAAATGTTGAAAATTATACTAGTATATGAAGCAAAGGAACACAATTATTAAGTCAAAGAAATAAACTTTCAGTCAATTGAGAGAGAAAAATTAGGAAGTACCTATGGAAGAAGTAGGAGTGTTGTGATTGAGACAGAGAGTTGCAGTGTTTTTTGCAGGATTTTCTGGCAAAATGGAGAAGATAAAGAGGAGAGAGAATTTGAATGTGGGCTTTATTGGGCCATCAAGAAAGTAACAAGGCAGGGCGAGGGCCAACTCAAGTTTTGTTTTATTAGCTTCTGTGACGGCCCTAACGAAACTGACCCGACTTGAATTATTCTAATAACATTGCATGAATTGAATTCAACACTACATTGTCTACATGGAAGATTGGAAGTTAAGTCATACTAGATGATCAATTGGCACCTCTACATCTCACAAGGTCTAAGTAGATTACAAGGGTGGATGTGTCCGTGTGGTCGATTACTTTGAAAGTTAATCAATTTACTAGATTGGGAAGTTGTTTGCATGTATTACTATAGAGAAGCTATGAAAATCCACTGGTGAATTGGTTAGCCGATCACATAGTTGATCAAATTACCGAACTTACCATCATCATATTCTATCGATAGATCTTGAATTATAATAAGAGGTGATGTTAGAGGAGTGAATATGCCACGTTTAATTTCATCGTAATTTCAATAAAAGGTTGGGTTTTACTCTATTTTGTAGTAATAAAAACAAAAAACCGTTGGATTTTCAATTTCTAAGCATTGTACTTATTCTCCTTTGAGAGTTGTAAAAACAAGATTGGTAAGTGAAATGAATCGCCACATTGGTATAATATAAATCTCGGTCTAGCAACATACAAGTGGTAACTAGAAAAAGTTGTTCTTAGATAGTGAATACGAGTGTTTATTGAGAATTTCTCATTCTTCCTACAAGGTTTTACTCTACTACGATATTATATAACAAAAAAAAAACATAAATCTAAAAATACAATTTTAATGGATATAACTATATACAATTTGAATGTTTAAAAAAGTGCAATAACAAAAAAAAAAAAAAAAAAAAAAAAATTAAAAAATTATAAATAAATAAAAATGTATGCCTTCGCTGATTCCTCTACACTTAATGCCTTGGCTGGGACGGGGATTGAAGTCATGGTTGCCATCCCTAATGACATGCTTAGCCGAATGAACATGCTAAAGAATGGGTTAAGAAAAATGTTACCAAACATCTTTATGATGGAGGAGTTAGCATAAGGTAATATGTATGTAAGATCATTTCAACATATGATTTTGCAAGATATATTAATCATAATTATATGAACCACTTCCCTCGGTTACGGGTCCTCATGCAATGACCTTGATGCTAATGGTAAACATTTCATATGCCTTCAACATGTATTTCCAGATGAATGATCAAAGTGTCGAAGCTTGCCAGTTTGACGGCGTTGCTACGATTACGTCCACCAATGCCTCCCAACAAGGGTGCCTATTTCCAATAGAGGTTGAAAGTGCGGCAATAAGGATTATCAAGTTCCAACAGAGGCTGTTCTTTTGGTTTTTACGCTTATGTTGTTTTTGTTGCTGTAAGGTATCCCAAGTTAGTCCTTAGTCCTGAATCCTGAGGTAATAAACTCTTCTCAGATTTTCTGTACAATAGTCATATACAAGGATTTTCTTGTATAATATAGTCATGTACAATAAATTAGCGAGAGATAGTCTCACCTACAACTTGCCCATTTCTTATGTACTAACACCCGAGCTGACAATAGACCATGTTAGATCCAAGCAAAAAGATCTTTTGAGAAAAAATATAAATCATCCAAATTACAAACAAACAATTTCAACCATCAAATATCATTTTCAAGAATAATAAAACAAAATTTTCTAACATTTTGCAGCAAGAATCCATGCACAGGCTAGTGTCTACAAGATTATCAGCCAGAAAAAGGAGCTTGATGTTTAACAAACACTTCTAAATAGATCAGACAACACTTTCAGTTTACCAAGTGAAAATTATATGTACACACAATGCCATTGTAGGCAAGGATAGTGAGGTTAGCTTGTGGTTCCTGGTGACTTTCAGGTCATTTCTCGAAAAATAAAGAGCTTCCAGCCTCCATAATTGCCTAAGACAGGATCTTCTTAGCAAAGGGTTCATCAACTCAGCCAGGGACCTGTACAAGAAAACAATGGTAAAATAAATCAGCAAATTCATAATAAAGTAATTTAGATTGTAATGTCATGGACATCATTTTCTTTACCTCGATGATCTATTACAGGCTAAAGGTATCATAAATTATGAGACCTTGACAGTAAATATTTTTTATAGACTGTGTACCTATATGAAAGGCGAAATTTCCACAACCTTTTTAAGCCATCTCAAAATCACAGGCCACTTTCTAGCTAAGTTACTATACTTTGAATTTTCCTATGTTACCCTTGATTGTTTATTTTAAGGGACACAAGGAGTAGCTTTCTGCTAACAAACCCTTTCCATCTGCTCATGTAATGAAGAAACAAAATCAACATGTTTAGGTGCAGGGTAGCGGTCTAGTGGATATGCAAATAAAGATGCACCCTGCAACATAGTTTTATATGGCTTCCTTTACCTGCTAAAGCTTAGGATCTCCACAGATGACATGGCTGCCTTAATGATAAATAGTCATTTATTTTTATCACAAGCAGCAGCTCTCTCATTGAATTCACTTACAGTCAATTTACAGATTTTAATGAAGAGGGCAAATTCCAACTTACAAGGGTCAATGACATAGCCATGAATATAATAACACAGCTAAAGAATCTTACCACAGATTCAAAACTTAGTTATCTCTTATATGAAAAACTGAGACTTAAACTCCTTCTCTAGCTGTTCTCTCGATTCTGTTTTTGCTGCCATTACAACATCTTCAAGGAATCCTCTTTTGTGGAATTCTTCTGGAACAAGATTTCTGTAAATCAGCTTCCTTCTTTTTGTTCAGTAAGCTGTAAATTATTCCCTGAAATATGATATATGAATGATTACTTGATTAAATTGAATGAGCAGCCAAGTAGATAACAGATGCAAGATACAAAGAATTTCGAGGCTAGCAGAGATCTCAGGTTGGTACTCTAACAGACGAGAACAACATGGAAGACAAAAGGCCAAATGCACTGAATTACAGAAGACAGAAAGTACAATAAACAACCCTCAAGTCAGCAATGTTCACATTTCATGGTAACACCATGTGAGCCAATTCATTTAAAAGTAGCATACTTCATGTTTCTAATTCCTTGTTCTGCACATCCTTTACATGTAAGCCAATCACAATCCTCGTAAAAGTCCAGTAGTATTTAATTATTTATTTTCTAACGATTCTATACTTGATGAGCATCTTAAGAAAATCACCTATTATAGCAAGTCCACCACTCAACAGAACAACTAGAGGGCCGTAGAGGGTCAAATAATTCCAATTTCTAATTAATTGTTCAAAAGTAGTCCTTATAATTCAACCTTCCCTCCTAACTTGCTGCTTCCCAAAAACATCTTTAAAAAAATCCATCCAAAGCATGATTTCCTTCACTCAATTTAGGTTACCAATCACAAGGAGCTTCAATATTTAAAAAAATTGAGCAAGTCAGGACATTTGCATAGATGAACAATATCATAGGTGCCTAAGGTTATTTGCATGAGTTCTTTACATAGAATATAGTCACTAAAAAGAAAAACAAAACAAGAATTAAAGGCAGGTTGGTATTAAGCTGATTTTAATTTTGCAACTTTCATTCATCTGGACGGGCAGGTTGGTATTCATTAGGATAAAACACCGTTACTCGGGTCAGCATTTCAACAGCTTCTGCAAAATCGAGTGGCAATTGACATACACCTTGTACGTAGTTGGCAGCAGTGATTTCTGACTCAAATTCACACATCCAATTGGGAGCTTGAAGATGAGGATTATTTGATTGCGTTATTAACTCATCAACCAAGCCGGTGACTTCTCTAAAATTAGCAAAATCTAAGCACCAAATTCGAGGCAGATATGCAATATGTATATACTCTGCTGGATCATCAGACCATTTGTATTGGATTGGGACCATTGCTTCTGCATTATCCCCCATTTCTCCATCCTCCTCTCCCATTTCTTCATTCTCTTCCTCTTCCTCTTCCTCTTCCTCTTCCTCATCAGGAAAACGAGCATCACTGTCCAATGAACCTGAATTCACCAGCTGATCTGAAGTATGAATCATTTGGCAAATTGAACTCCTACAATATTTATAATACATGAAAACTAATAAGTCCATGTCAACATCAAAGTAGGTGAACTACTCCGCACAATTAATCAAAAGGAAGAATCTCAATAAACATAAGTTTGTAATAGTAGGAATTACTTCATTTCATTAGTAGAGTTGCTTTGAAAGTTCCTCCCTGCCTTCTGTTTCCGATGCAATTGATAATCATGCAGACTTTGGTACTCTGAGCATTTGGATAGCTAAAAGAAACTGCAACATGTATCAATATATCAACAATTAATTTGTGAAGGTTCAATGGGCACTCAAGAGGGGGGGGGTGAATTGAGTGTTAAGTAATCGTTGGCTAATTTTGCTTCTTTTCGATTATGTGTGAGGAACCAGTTGTGCTGGTTCCCGTACGCAGCGGAATATAAATAAGCAATAAAGAAGACAACAAATTTAACGAAACAAAGCAATAAAGAACACAACAAATTAACGAGGTTCAGCCAACTCAGGCCTACGTCCTCCTATCCTAAGTTCTTTATTGATCTACTCCGAAAAAACAAAGACAAAGAACACTCTGCTGTTCCCTACTCCGGGAACCAGCAAACCCCACACTCTACTCCGAGTGTGCTCTCGACTTACACTCGTAAGCCCAATGTGTTTGAACTCACAAACACTCACCCCAGCCTTTAACCCCTTTGTAAAGACTCAATACAAGAATCAAGAACTCCCCTTTGATCTCACTTCTACGAAGCTAATTAAGAGAAAAAGTTTAAGTACTAGAATGCTCTTGTATATGACTTGATGAATGGGATTAGTGCTTAAGTATATGCTCTCAAATAATTGCTCTTTTAATTTCTGGAGAGGCACACGAAATATGTGAAATAAGATGAGTTTATATAAGTTTAGATTCCTAAAACCTAGTTTCCTTAAATCACACAATCTTAGAGAA